GGGGGCTGCTTGTGATCTTCACCTATGCACCCCACTGCAGTCAGCATGTCGTTGTGTCCCTGAGACACTTCACCCCAAACTCCTCCTGTGGGGATTGCCCTCAGTACTGAGTATGTAAGTTGCTTTGGATAAAAGTGACCTCTAGTGATGCATGGAGGTCGTACAGAGCACAGAAAGGGAAGCTTTACTGACCCCACAGTATAACATGTCACTGTTTGCAAGATACTTCCTGCTGGAGGACAGAATCATCCGAGGTTATAACACAGCGTGACTGTCAGCAAGCGACACATTTCCATAACGGGTATATATTCAGATATATCAGCACAGAAGGAACCTCTCAAATGTAAATAAAAGACGTCACTGGAAATACACAGGGCATATCATTCCAACACACGCTAATTATGAAAACAACATATACAAGAAAAGCACAGCTATCTCAAAGACTACTGCGTCAGGCCAATTTCAACCTCTCACTGGGTAACTCCTCCCAACAAAAGGAGTGCAGGCAAACTTGTTTTTAAACATCCTGAACGAAAGAAAATGAAGCTTTTCAAAACAGAATGAAGGAATAGTGCCTCCAAAATCTGTTTTCTGCCTCAGGGTAAATGTGTTGTCACGTGTGCATAGCTAGTGTATTTATGAGAATGAAAATCGTGTCTGTAATAGTCCGATACTAGCTCCTTGATCACCTTGTTTCAAAGCAGTAGGTGAAAAACCCCACAATGCACCTCAAGGTTTGCTTAACCAGGAACCTTTGTGGTCCCTAAGTTCTACATGTGAACACCTAGGTTACACAGGAGGGGCTTGTTTATCATTGTTCTAGTTGTATAATTGTATAATTCTATAGTGAACGGTAAAACAAAGCTGTATGATATTCGATCGTTACTTGTCTTGTAGTAATTGAAAATAGATGTTTACAACAGTTTCCTTTAACGCAGAATCTGTTTGTCTTTGTAAAATGTGTGCTCAAGGCTTTTTATTTGTTACATACATAGCTACAGTGTAGTTATGTCGATTAAAATCTGAGGTCCCAGGCACTCACTTTGAATGCTTTTTCTCAGGTCAACAACATTAGCATCCCTCAGTCTGTTCCCCTCGAACATGGAAGCCCTGGTAAGAGTCCGTTTTGATCCAGATGGTTTGAAACGGAACAAAGATACATACATACAAAATCAAATACAAAAAAGAAAAATTAGAAACGCAGGAGGTTTAATCCTTCCAAAGTCCGCCCGTCTGTTCTTGATAAACCTCGATTACGTCCTCGTCTTCCATCCCCAGCTGAGGAGTAACAGAGACATGTTTCAGTAACAGAGTCGACATCTATTCATCTTCTACTATTTGACAAAGCCTTCAGTAATTCATGTTTATAACGCTTTTACTTCATTTCGAAGCTAGATCACGATGTAAAAGTCACAAACGGTTTGCAAAGTGTGTAAGCTTTACAGAAAACAAAATGGTATTATAAAAACAACAAACACATAACACTCTGGATTAATGGACAGATGTGTTGCTGGAGTCACACGTTTACCTCTTTGGGAGTTTGGTTGTCTGCGATTCTCTGTCCTTCAAACAGAAACCTTAGCGTGCTTGCTGGAACACCCTGTGAGAAACACAACGACACACATCAGAGAAAGCTTTTTAAATCCTCTCTGTGCTTTGTTTACGACAGGGATCAACATGATATGATTTCACAACAAGGAGTGGTTTCTGTCCTCTGACCTGTCTCTGGCTGTAAGACTCCTTCAGCTTCTTCAGATGTGTCGTCATTTTGACCTTAAAGTGGATTTCGCTGCTGTCCTGTTGGCAGAAAGTGATGGTGAGAAACAGCAACACATGCCAGCATGGTTTTCTTTAAATGTCTTAGGAACTGTATTTCCACAGAGAAGAAGTAAGCACACACACAATTATTTTAACAGAACACAAATGATTGTAGTAGTTACAGTAGATGTTTTTCTCTCTATAAACCCCACCTGATGCAGTAGGTGGTGAAGAAGAAGAAGTAGAAGTAGTAGTAGGTGTATTATTATTATTATTATTAGTAGTTGTAGTCGTAGAAGTAGTAGTATGTGTATTAGGAGTAGTAGTAGTTGTAGTAGGTGTATTTGTAGTAGTAGTAGGTGTAGTAGTATTTCAACAGAAAATCTTGATAAATATTTTATTCAGAAAATCATGCAACAACAACTTTTGCAGCATATTATGATATATATATATATATATGATCTGTTAAGATCAGTACATGCAAACACACCTGACCGATGACTTTTAATTTGATGTACTCTCCGTCCTTCTTATCTCCTCCATCTTGGCTGGATGGTTTTGTCTCCTATAAAACATCAACAACACACAGACAAAAACAACTTGAGCAGCAGACAACATGTAAACGCCACACACATTACAAACAGGCCCGATGGCTTGGTTTCGTTTTAACGACACTGTGACCCACATGTGTGAATGTTTTGGTTTCAAAATGCTGGTACCGCTTCTTGTTTTAAAGCTGAACTGAACTAAAGGAAAGCTAGTTGCTAAGCTAAGCAGCTAAGTAAGCAGTTCTGGGCCTGAAACGAGCTAGCAGTTAGCATTTTAAATAGCCAGATACGAGGTGGCAAAACACTGATTAATCTCTTTGTGAATTTGATCCAGACTATAAACAATAGCTGCTATTTAAAGTGTATATCTTACCGTATCTGACATGTTGTCCCTCTGTTTATGTTGTTAAGATATAGTGACAATAGATAGCGTTAGCTTTCAGTCGCAGCTCTAGCTGGATGTTATGAGAAGTCTACATTAACAGGAAGTGACGTAGGAAATCACTTCTTTCAAAGTAAGACTCATTCTGAAAGGAAGCATGGAGGAATGTTTTTTACACAACTTCAGCCTCCATTAAATAAATGAGTTTAATAAATTAAAGTCTACTGATCCAGATAGACTATTATTAGGCATGGTGGTAGCAATGTTGACTTACTTTGATATTACATTTAGAGTAAGGCATCACATTAATTACATGTCAATGCTTCATTAATGTGTGGCAACATGAGGAGTCTGTGTGTGTGTGTGTGTGTGTGTGTGTGTGTGTGTGTGTGTGTGTGTGTGTGTGTGTGTGTGTGTGTGTGTGTGTGTGTGTGTTTGTTTGTGTCAACCCTATCAAATGTATTTATTTGACCTACTTAAATCGTTCTACAGGAAACTATACATGTCTGACATCACAGGTTGTGTTTTTGTTGGAGTCCTACAACGAGGTCGGGGGGTTAAGACCTGTGAAGTGTGCCAAAATAACAACTATCATTTCCGGTTAACCACTTTCGAAATAAAATACAAACTATGTTTTCCCAACCGCAAAACCGTTTGTATTTTATTCTGTAAACACAACCACCTTACTTCCGGTTACCGTTAGTTCGTTAACGCAACTTGGGGGGAAACAGCGAGCGAAGCTACCGTCATCCAGGTTGTAAAGTGCAACAAAATGAAAGCTGTCAGTTAACTTTAAACATTTGCTCGCAGACACGGAGATACTTTGTTGGATAAACCGCTATCTTGTCGTTGTTCTGCCTGGAAACAGCCGGTTGAACTGACAGCCGTTGGGCCTGGTCGTCGTGGCCCAGCAGGACTCGAGTTGGAGCCAAACTTCTGCTTTTCCTCAAGCGGCTCTCCGCGGGGCTCGGGGCTCCTGTCACCGGCCCTGTGGATGTGGACGTGAACACGAAGATAACCGACCGCCAGGTAAGACGATAGAGATAACACCGACCCTTTCTCACGGTTAACGGTTGTTTTTAACGGTGCGGGAGAGCCTTGAATAGCTACTTTAGCATTAGCTTAGCTTGACAACTTCCCTGGCCTGACAGCTAGGAACTCTCGGTTAGCATTAGCCACTTAGCTTCCTTTTCAGCTAACATTGTTTACCTATTATGTGTTATATTTATATTTCAAGATCGTTTATCAAGCACATTTTGGCGTAGCTGGTAAGTGGGAAAATAGCTAGAAACAGTTGTTAGTGCATTTTATAGCATGCGGGGCTACATAGCTAGCAAGTTGATTTAAAGCTAATTATCTTCCACAGGAGGCCATCACAGCGGTATGTTGTTGGTATCAACTTTACTGAGACAAGTGACATTAGCTTACTAGCTAGCCAGCCGCAGTGGTTTGCAAAGGACGTATTTTGTTAGAATAATGTTAAGTGCTAAGCAAATGTTGTTGTCAAGCCCCCTGTCATCAACGTGACAGACATATTCTGTCACTTGCAATCAGTGTTGGTCTCAGACTCTCATCAGAAATATTCCTCATTAGGCCATCTTGACTGTCCAGACTTTAATTCCCTTTAATTCCCTTTAATCATTTTAAACCTCTTTATAGTGATTAACAGCTTCTGTCTGAAATTATGCATCACGACTTGCACACTAATATAATTAAAAAATATTGTGTCAACTCTTGATGAATGAGCAGAAGGAATGCTGGATGGACGCTTTAAATCTTCAATCATTGTATTGCTTTTAAATTTGATCAAAGTGTTGATGCTACTACTTCACTTCTCCACTGCTCTCTCTATCACATGTCATTGTATGTTGAAATATTGGTGCAAACACCAGTCAGCCTTTTAGTTTATTAGCCACACCGAGTTAAAACTGATATTAACCTTGTTTAAATACATCGTTTTAAAGAAAAATATTAGAAGTCGTATGAGCAGCCCTTCTCAGTATTATGCAATAAAATTCACTCAAACAGCTCCATGAACTTCAGCCTCCAAAGTCACCATAAATCTTAAGCACTTCTAAAACAGCTTGATCCAAACTGGACGTTGTATTCCTCATGAAGATAGGATTTATTGCAGGGCTGTTAATCAGACTTATTTTAAGCTACAGGGATCTGATAAAAAGTCAACCGAGTGCATCTTGATAAAAACATTTTCTGGAAAGTCAATTAAGAAACTTGTAGTGGAAATAAAACTCATACACATTGCAAACAATTAGCGCTAATCACTGATTTGCCACATTGAACACTGGGCTCCTACGGTCTAAATAGTATGGCAACAAATCTGATAATCTTTCCGCTGTTGTGACAATTGTTTTCCATACTGCTGAGCTTATCAGCCTGCACCGTCAGGCCCTAACTTGTGTGCTGATCAGCTGCACGACAGGTCTGATGCTGTCCTTGTGCTGTTGCAGGAGAATGGAATCCCTTTGATGGGAGAATCCTCTTTCCTGGCCTCCTGGGTCAATCGCCGTGCCATGATGATGGGTATGTATATGTGTGTGTGTGTGTGTGTGTGTGCGTGTGTGTGTGTGTGTGTGTGTGTGTTAAGATAGTGTTACTGTTTGGCAGTCAGCCAGCTTCATCTTTTGTCAAACTTTAACCTCAAGGAATGTTTTTTTTCTCCCGAACAATGACTTCTTTGACATTTTTGCCTCAAGACTTGTGTTACGTACTTCAATGTAAGTGCCATAAAACACGTTACTGCTGCAGTTCAGAAAAGATAATAAAAGTCATTTGAAGGTATTTGCAAGAGCACAGCTTTGAATGTGAACTAGGCCTTACTTTCCAACCTGAGCTACATCATCTTAAATCAGTGTTTAATGTTTAATAAACTGAACTCTTGTGTCCCCTCAGATGAGCAGGAGGCGCTGAACTCGATCATGCAGGACTTGGCCGAACTGCACCGCTCCAGCCGTCCTGCCATGTTCCTGTCGGACCTGGGCAAACCCAAAGCTTCCTCGCCCAAGAACCAGGTGAACGCTGCGTTAGAAATGCATTTTAAGTGAAGAAAACAGGGCTCTGATTAGAGAACGATGAGACCGTCCGTAGTCTGATGTGTTCATTCATCAGATATGTCTTTCCAACAGAATGATGTCAGAGTGAAGTTCGAGTTCAAAGGGGAGAAGAGGTGAGTCTTTGAGCAGCTTCTTCACTTTAATGTCAGAGCAGACTTCTCTCCTGACCTCTGACCTCTTCTTGTTCTCTGCAGGATCTTACAGTTCCCTCGACCTGTGCAGCTGGACGACCTGAGGGCGAAAGCCAAAGTGGCTTTCGGTCAGACGATGGACCTTCACTACACCAACAACGAAGTACATATACACACAAATACTGATAGTGAATTATGAAAGAATCTACAGATATTGATATCTAAACAAACCGTGTTGTTTCTTCTTGCAGTTGGTGATTCCACTGACCACTCAGGAAGACCTGGATAAGGCCGTGGAGCTGCTGGATCGCAGCGTTCACATGAAGAGCCTGAAGATCCTCCTGGTAGTCCAGTTCTCCTCTCAGGTGAGCCACTTATTCAAACACCAGGGGAAACACTCCACAATGAAGTACTAACTAACTACTAACCAAACTGTATGCCATTGAACACTTGAAGCTAGTTATACCTCTGAAGCTGCGTCTCCCTTTTTATTTTAAGAGTACCAGCAATCAATGAAGTCTTCTGCCTCATGATTTGAAAGCCTGTTTTCTTTCTGTTTGTTCAGAACTCTTCCTCCAATATGGACCTCATGCCGTCCCATGAGAAGCTGGACAACACGGGATTCAGGGTCGCTGACAATAACATGCTAGCTTTAATAGGTGAATAATGTCTCGGGGTCGGACTGAAGCAACATTGGTAATCCATTAGACATGAATAATAACTAAACATGTCCTCTTTAACCACCCAGGACCCCATTCGACGGACCGCAGCTCCCCTCCTCCAGGGTACATTCCCGACGCGCTCCAGCAGGTAGCGAGGAACGGCTCCTTCACCAGCATCAACAGCGAGGGAGAGTTCATCCCTGAGAGCATGGACCAGGTAGTCAGAACGCTTGGTGGTAAAGACTTCTGTGATTAGGTTACAGTTTGTTTTCCTGAATGTCTTTCTTTTCTTCAGATGCTAGATCCACTGTCTATGAGCAGTCCAGAAAACTCTGCGTCGGGAAGTTGTCCGTCTTTAGACAGCCCGCTGGACAGGTAAGGATATCAGTATTCTATTCACACAGTGAGAGAATAAAGACAATCTGATTTAGAGTTGCATTTCAAGTAAATATGAGGTGTACCGAGTTCCTTTCGGCTGCCTTCATCACAGCGCTAACATTCAACCAATGGTTTGTTGTTATAACAAATTATACATATTAGTTACAAAAAAGGCCTGGAGATTGACCCATAGTGCAGCTTTTCCACTGTTATATATAAATATACATATGACATACAGGGGTAGACATTAAGGGTCAAATTGCACTGGCCCCCCCCATTGTAACCACTGGCCCCCCCATTGTAACCACTGGCCCC